CCCCTCACCAGCTTGGTGGCTCTCCTCTGGACACGCTCCAGCACTTCAATGTCTTTCCTGTAGTGAGGGGCCCAAAACTGAACACAGCACTCGAGGTGAAGCCTCACCAAAGCCGAGTACAGAGGCACGATGACTTCCCTACTCCTGCTGGCCATGCTATTCCTGATACAGGCCAGGATGCCATTGGCCCTCTTGGCCACCTGGGCACACTGCTGGCTCATGTTCAGCCGCCTGTCCACCAACACCCCCAGGTCCTTTTCTTCCGGGCAGCTTTCCAGCCACTCTTCCCCAAGCCTGTAGCATTGCCTGGGGTTGTTGTGACCAAAATGCAGGACCCAGCACTTGGCCTTATTAAACCTCATCCCATTGGCCCTGGCCCAATGATCCAACCTGTCTAGATCCTTCTGTAGAGCCTTCCGACCCTCAAGCAGATCAACACTTCCACCTAATTTGGTGTCATCTGCAAACTTACTGAGGGTGCATTCAATCCCCTTGTCTAGATCATCAATAAAGATATTGAACAAGACTGGCCCCAAAACTGAGCCCTGAGGGACACCACTGGTGACCGGCCGCCAACCAGATCTAGCTCCATTAATCACAACTCGCTGGGCATGGCCATCCAGCCAGTTTTTTATCCAGTGGAGGGTACACTTGTCTATGCCATGATTCTCTAGTTTCTCCAGGAGAACGCCGTGGGGGACGGTGTCAAAGGCCTTACCAAAGTCCAGGTAGATAACATCCACAGCCTTCCCCTCATCGAGAAAGTAGGTCACATGGTCATAGAAAGAGATCAAGTTGGTTAGGCAGGACCTCCCTTTCATAAACCCATGCTGGCTGGCCCTGATCCCTTGGCTGCCCTGCACTTGCCTTAGGAGCTCACTCAAGATGATCCTCTCCATGATCTTTCCCGGTACCAAGGTCAGGCTGACAGGCCTGTAGTTCCCAGGATCCTCCCTCCGGCCCTTCTTGTAAATGGGCGTCACATTGGCCACCCGCAGGTCATCTGGCACCTCTCCTGTTGACCAGGATTGTTGATAGATAATGGAGAGAGGCTTGGTGAGCTCTCCTGCCAGCTCCCTGAGAACCTTTGGGTGAATCCCATCCGGCCCCATAGACTTATGCGTGTCCAGGTGCAGAAGTAAATCATTAACTACCTCCTCCTGGATTACAGGGGAGTTGTTCTGTTCTCCATTCTTATCTTCCAGCCCAAGAAGCTGAATACCCTGGGAGTGGCTGGTCTGATTATTAAAGACAGAGACAAAGAAGGCATTAAGTATCTCAGCCTTCTCCTCGTCCTTGGTTGCAAGGTTTCCCCTCGCATCCAGTAAGGGATGCTCAGTCACATTCTCTGTGACTCTCTTTTTGTTAATGTATTTATAGAAACTTTTTTTATTGTCCCTTATATTAGTCACCAGGTTGAGTTCCAGCTGGAACAGTCGACAGGCTGGAGGGAAAGGATGCCATCCAGAGGGACCTGGACAGGCTGGAGAGGTGAGACCATGCCAGCCTCATGAAGTTCAACCAGGCCAAGGGCAAGGTCCTGCCCCTGGGTCAGGGCAATCCCAGGCACAAATGCAGACTGGGTGGAGAATGGCTGGAGAGCACCCCCGAGGAGAAGAACTTGGGGGTGTTGGTGGAGGAGAAGCTCAACATGAGCCAGCAAGGTAGGCTGGCAGCCCAGAAAGCCCCCTGCACCCTGGGCTGCATCCCCAGCAGCGGGGCCAGCAGGGCGAGGGGGAAGTTCTGCCCCTCTGGGTCACTCTAGGGATACACCCCCCAAGTGCTGCCTCCAACATTAGAAGGACATGGAGCTGTTGGAGCGGGGCCAGAGGAGGCCCTGGAGATGCTGGGAGGGCTGGAGCCCCTCTGCTGGGAGGGGGGGCTGAGAGAGCTGGGGGGGTTCAGCCTGGAGAAGAGAAGGCTCCAGGGAGACCTTCCAGCCCCTTCCAGTCCCTCAAGGGGCTCCAGAAAAGCTGGGGAGGGACTCTGGATCAGGGAGGGGAGCAGAGGGGTAGAGCCACCACCTATGGGTGGGCTTGTGATGGTGGGGTGGACCTGACCCCTGCAGCCATCGCACAGGTCCTTCATGAGTGTGAGCGATGCGCTGGAATCAAGTGAAGCTCCTCAGGTATAAAGGCTGGTGGCAGTGATACCACGAAGTGTGCCCCGGCCACCCCATTGTCCCCATCCCCACCCACCCATCCCTGCATCTTCCCACCCCAGCTCTGGAGTCCCCCAACACATACTGGATACAACGAGAAGGATTTATTTCAAACTCTGTGTTTTGTGGCCAGTCTTGTTGGTCACCAGCCCTGCTGGCACCCGGTGCCCCCCATGGTCACCATAAGGCAGTAGGTACATGGACGTGTTCCTGGCCTGGTACCGTTCAGGTAGACCTGGACCGGAAACGTTGTCAGGAGCTGTCACACCTTGGTGGCCCGTGGGACAGAGGGGTAGAGCCACCACCTATGGGTGGGCTTGTGATGGTGGGGTGGACCTGACCCCTGCAGCCATCGCACAGGTCCTTCATGAGTGTGAGCGATGCGCTGGAATCAAGTGAAGCTCCTCAGGTATAAAGGCTGGTGGCAGTGATACCACGAAGTGTGCCCCGGCCACCCCATTGTCCCCATCCCCACCCACCCATCCCTGCATCTTCCCACCCCAGCTCTGGAGTCCCCCAACACATACTGGATACAACGAGAAGGATTTATTTCAAACTCTGTGTTTTGTGGCCAGTCTTGTTGGTCACCAGCCCTGCTGGCACCCGGTGCCCCCCATGGTCACCATAAGGCAGTAGGTACATGGACGTGTTCCTGGCCTGGTACCTGCACTCACCAATGACAGCTCTCATGGTCCCTTGTCACAGCTTTTGGTGTCCCCATCCCATCTCTCAGTGTCCCCAACTGGGTTCTCAGTGTCCTCATCCTGGCTCCTGGTGTCACCATCCCTTGGTGTACCTATCACCTGCTCCTACTGTCCCTCATCCTCCTTCCCCGTGTCCCCATCCCCTGTTGTCCCCCCCTGTCCTCCACCCTGCAGCAGGTGCCAGTAGCGGCTGCCGGGGCGCAGGAGCTCCTCGGGGGACTCCAGCTCATGCAGTCGTCCCCCCTCCAGCACGGCCACCCTCTGTGCCCGCGCGGCCAGGGCCACCTTCCCTGTCACCAGCAGCACCGCACGTCCAGCGCTGCTGGCTCCAAAGATCTCCTGCTCCACCTGCGGTGGGTGGCATCATCAGTGGGGACCCCCAGGTGTGGGGACACAGGGGATATGGGGCCCAAGGGGACATGGAGAGTGAGGATCCAGGGGACACGGGGAGGTGGGACACAGGGGGTATGGGGCCCAAGGACCAAGAGGATGTGGGGACCAAGGGGACATGGGGAGTTGAGACACAGGGCACATGAGGAGCAGGGTCCCAGGGACATGGGGACCGAGGACCAAGCAGATATGGGGACCAAGGGGACAAAGGGGGCAGGGGCATAGGGGCCATGGGGAGCTGGGACACAGGGATTCAGGGGATGTGGGGAGTTGAGAGCAAGGGGGCATGGGAAAGAGGGACCCAGGGGATATGGGAAGGAGGGACCCAGGGGATATGGGGAGCAAGGACCAAGGGGCATGGGGACCAAGGCCCAAGGGTCCCTGAAGCAGGGACCAAGGTGGCACAGGGATTGTGGACCAAGGGGATGATAGAATGAGGAGATCCAGGGGGGAGACCAGGGTGCTACTGGACAGGGAGCCCAGGGGGACACGGGTGTCACCTCCTACCTGCAGCTGGCTCTCAGCGTCCAGGGCGCTGGTGGGCTCGTCAAGGACGAGGATACGGGGGTTCCTCACCAGGGCACGAGCGATGGCCACCCCCTGCCGCTGTCCCCCGGAGAGCTGCCCCCCCAGCTCGCCTACCTCTGTGCGAGACGGGGTTCAGGGTGGGGATATGGGGACACGGGGACAGCCGGAGGGGGACACACGTCCTACCTGTGTCGTAGCCCTGGGGCAGGCGGGTGATGAAGGCGTGGGCACCCGCCCGGCGGGCTGCCACCGTCACCTGCGCCCGGTTCCAGGCCCCCGGCCCGTAGGCGATGTTGGCGTGGAGCGAGCGGGAGAAGAGCACGGGCTCCTGGGGAACGGCAGCCACCTGCGGCAGAGGGGATGGCTGGGGACACTTTGGGGACATGGCAGGGAAGTGGCAGGGGATGTGGCAGGGGATGTGGCAAGGGGACGGCTGTGGTCGCTGCTGGGGATGCGTTGGGGACAGCTGGGGACATGGCAGGGATGCACTGGAGACGTGTGGATGGTGGGGGACACGGCAGGAGACGTGGTGGGAGAAGAGATGGGGACATGGTAGGGACATGGCATGGACATGGTGGGACATCTGGAGACTCGGGGGGGACGGCTGGTGTCATGGGGGTGATGACTCGTTGGGGATGGGTGGTGACATTGGGGTGAGGGTGATGGTGGAGACTTGTTCAGAACAGCTGGTGACTTAAGGGTGGTGACTCGTTGGGGATGGCTGATGACATGGGGGTCATGGTGGGGACATGGTGGGGATGGCTGGTGTCATGGGGGTGGGGACTCGGGGATGGATGGTGACGTGAGGGTGGTGGTGGGTCCTGCTGGGGACGTTGTGTGACCAGGGCAGTGGTGGTACCTGGCAGCGCAGGAAGGGGTGCTGGTAGGCAGGGAGGGGGTGACCATCCAGCAGCACCTGCCCAGCCCCCGGTGGGCGCAGGCACAGGACCAGGGACACCAGGGTGCTCTTCCCCGCCCCCGGGGGGGCCACCACAGCCAGCACCTCCCCGGGGCGCAGCTCCAGGGACAGGCCCTGTGGAGGACATGGAGGTGACACACCTGCGTGCCCTCCCCCGATGTCTTCAGCCCTCCCTGACATGTCCCCATGTCCCCATGCCTTCCCCACCACGTACACCATCCAGCAGCACCTGCCCGGCCCCCGGTGGGCGCAGGCACAGGACCAGGGACACCAGGGTGCTCTTCCCCGCCCCCGGGGGGGCCACCACAGCCAGCACCTCCCCGGGGCGCAGCTCCAGGGACAGGCCCTGTGGAGGACATGGAGGTGACACACCTGCGTGCCCTCCCCCGATGTCTTCAGCCCTCCCTGACATGTCCCCATGTCCCCATGCCTTCCCCACCACGTACACCTGGCACGGTTCCACCATGGCCCCATGGCCCCCCCACCATATCCAAGTCCCTATGCCCCCCCCACCATGTCCCCATCTCCCCCTGCCATGTCCCCACACTCTCCTTACCACCCTCTCATGTCCCCATGTCATGTCCCCACACCCTCCCCACCACATCCATGTCCCTATGCCCTCCCCTCTGTCCCCCCATGTCCCCACCACGTCCCCACACCCTCTCCAGCACCTCTATGTCCCCAGGCCATGTCCCCACACCCTCTCCCACTGTCTTCCCATCACATCCCCACATCCCCTCCCCTGTCCTTGTGCCCACCTTGAGGACGGGCTCTTGGTGCCCAGGGTATGAGAACCAGACATCCTCAAGCTGGAGGTGGCCCTGCAGGACATCCGGCGCCAGTGTCCCTGCAGGTGTCACCTGCTCCTCCTGGTCCAGGAACTCAAAGATCTTCTCTGAGGAGCCCACGGCCTTTGTCATGTTGGGGTAGTAGCGCAGCAGCACCTGGGGACACAGTAGGGACGTGGCTGAGAGGGTGGAGGGACTACGGAATGGGCATGGGGACACAAGGGACAGGAGGACATGGGGACATCAGGAATGGGCATGGGGACATGGCTGGGAGGGTGTGGAGACTGGGGAACGGGCATGGGGACATGGGGATACGGGACTGGGACAAGGATGCATCCAGGAGGACAAAGGGAATGGGCATGGGGACACGGCCAGGAGCGTGTGGGGTCACAAAGGACACAGGGACATGGTGGGAGGACACTGGATGGCACGGGGACACAGTGGGACCAGCACGGGGATGTGGCAGGGGGACACAGGCACGTGGCAGAGAGGACACGAAGAGATGGGCAATGGGGACACGCTGGGACTGGCATGGGGACACGACAGGGAGGGTGCAGGGACACAGGGACCAGGGCTGGGGACACAGTGGGGAGGATGCCGGTGACATGGTGTCCCCTCAGGCTCACCTCCACAGCCTCGGTGAACTGCATCTGGTAGATGAGGAAGGTGACGAGGTCCCCAGTGGTGATGGTCCCCGCAGCCACCAGCTGTCCCCCGTAGCAGAGGAGCCCCAACTTCAGCCCCAGTGCCGAGAACTGGAGACACATCGGGGATGTCACCGCTGGGGGGGGGGGGAACCTCATCCCCCTCCTCACTGTGGCCACCTCTCTGTGGGGACACCGAGGTCCCAGCCTTGCTTTGCCACCTCCCCTGTGCCATCACCTTCCCCCTGTGTCCCAAAGACGTCCCATCCCCCATGTCACCCCCTGTACCCCAGAGACCCTGCACTGTCGTGCCCCATGTCCCCATGCCACCAAATCCCCATATTCCCTATCCCCATGCCACCACGTCTCCATGTATCCCGGTCCCATGCCATGCCTTCCCCGTGTCCCCCATGCCATCACATCCCCAAGTCCCCATGCCAACTGTGTCCACATCTCCTGTATCTGTGCCACCACATCTCCATGTCCCCCAGCCTCATGCCATCACTTCACTGTGTCCCCATGTCCCCTCACGCCCACACCACCGTATCCCCAGCCCCATGCCACCCCGTGCCACTGCATCCTCATGTCCCATTGCCCCCACGCCATCATATCCCCCATCCCAATGCCACCGTATCCCCATGCCCTGCAGACCCATGCCATCACATGCCCGTGCCACCTAGCCCCACGCTGCTGCTGTGCCTCCACATCCCCAGCCTCATGCCACCACGTCCCCATGTCTCTTGTCCCCACGCCACTGCATCACCCTGTCTCCTGTCCTCATGCCACCTTATCCTGACGTCCCACAGCCCCCACACCAGCACATCCCCCAGCCCCCGTGCCACCCCAGCCCCACATCCCCCTGTCCCCATACCCCACTGGCCCAGAGGGTGGCGGCGTAGGTGGCCGCATCCTTCCCCTCCAGCCGGTAGACGCGGCGCAGGCGCTGGTGGTACCGCTCAGTTGCTCCGGCCTCGTGGGCAAAGCTGCGGATGGTGGCCATGGCCTGGAAGGTCTCCACCGCCACCTCGGTGGCACCTGCCAACGCCTCCTGCACCTGCCTGGACAGCCCCTGGGGACGGTGGTGTCACCTCAAGGAGGGGGACAGGGGAAGCGGGGAGGGAAGGGGCAAGCAGAGGGAGGGGATGGGGGGCATCTGGAGGCGGCGGTGGGCACATTGAAGGGGACAGTGGGCACATGGAGGGAATAGATGGCATCTGGAGGGGTCAGTGGGCACATGGTGGGAACAGAGGGAATGGGGAGGGGACGGGGGCACACGGAGGGGACAGTGGGCACATGGTGGAAACAGAGAGAATAAGGAGGGGACAGTAGGCACATGGAGGGGACAGTGGGCACGTGGAGGGGCGTAGTTGGCATGAGGAGGGGACAGTGGGCATGGGGAAGGGACGGGGGCACATGGTGGGAACAGAGGGCATGGGGAGGGAGCAGCGGGAATGGGGAGGGCACAGGGGGTGCTCGGAGGGGACAATGGGCACATGGGGATGACAGAGGGCATGGGGAGGGGGACAGTGGGAATGGGGAGGTGACAAGGGACCCATGTGTCCCCCCCTAGGTACCTGCTGGACCTTGCCGACAGCCCGGGGCAGCAGCAGGAGGACAGGGAGGGAGAGGAGGGTGACAAAGGCCAGGCGGGGTGACAACCAGGCCATGGTGGCCAGGAGGCAGGCGCCTCGCGCCAGGTACCACAGCAGGAGGCTGAGGGCCTCGGACACCGCGGCGTGGGTGGCCTCCACGTCCCCCGTCACCCGCGCCGTCACTGCCCCCGTCCCCGTCCCCTGCAGGGAGGCCACGTCCCGCCGCAGGACGGCGGCGAAGACGCGGCGCTGGAGACGTCCCAGCGCCCGGCCCAGCGTCCCCGCGTAGAGGACGTCGCAGATGAATTCGGTGACGGCACTGGGGGGGTTGGTGGCAGAGGGGGTGGCTTAGCTGGGGGGGGGACACACATGTGTCACACCCCCCCACCCCCCAGCCCGTGTGACATCCCCGGTGTCACCGTCCTACCTGCCGAGCCCCAGCAGTGCCATGGGCCAGGCGGCCGCCAACTCGTCCTCGCTGGCCACCCAGTCGGTGACGCGGCCCGTGAAGTAGGGGACGGCCACCTCCCCTGCCACCGCGGGGGGGGACACAGCGTCAGGGTGATGGGGATCCCCCAGTCTGTGTCACCCCCACCCCGCGGTGACACCTTGAGGGGCTGGTGATGCACCCACCTCTTCCCCCACCATCCCACTGGGTGCTGCCCCCACCCCCCTCAAAGCTGAGAACATCCCCACCCTGCCTGGATGCTGTCCCCGCCCCCCCAAACTGGGTCCT